ACTTTTTTTCAGGACAGTGTTCACTTAAATGGATACTATAGGCATCAAAATAACTTTAGCTTAATGAATCAATTAGTAAATATAGAACAAGTCCTGTAGTCTCACTGTTAAATCTTCCACTATTTAGCAGTTAAATCACTTGTTTCTGTCCATGCATGCCTAGCCACATATCTCCTGGCTGCATGAAAAAATGGTTACAATTTCAATCAGATGTTAATTTGCTTCAGATGTTTTTTCTCCTGCTCTGTAAATTGAACTTTAATCACACACAGGAGGCTACTGCAGTGTCTAGAAGGCCATTAACAGAGCAGGAGATAGGAAATTCTAACTTAAAAATAATATGCAATAAAAGGAAGTGTAAACATTAGATCTCTCTTCACAGGAAGTGTTTAGGAAGGCTGTGCAAGTCACACAAAATGTGGGGCTGCATAAACAAAGTGATATAACTCCTAAATTGCAGAGTACGGAGACTGTAAATGCATGATCTATACATCAGACCTGCTTCGTTAAAGGAACAAACAGGGTCAGGTCACAAAACTGTATTCCTGGTAAAAACACTTAAGCCCCCCAGCCCCCCTTATATAAGCAGAAAACTCACCTTATTTCCAACAATGTGCGGGCCGCCAGTGCTGGCTCCGCCCTGATCTGCCTCCTTGGCTGAGATAAATCAGCATTGATGATCTCAATCAATCCAATGCTTTCCCATAGGAAAGTATTGGATTGGCTGAGGTTGTTAACTCTGATTATTTCAGCAAAGGAGGCAGCCCGGGGTGGAGTCAAATCAGCATCTCCATGCATCTTTATGGGGAAAGTTCAGCTTTCCATGCTGAGCATCGTGCCGCACTGACCCTGGAAGCACCTCTAGGTAGCTGTCTGAGTTATTGCCACTGGAGGTGTCCGTAGGGAGCAAAGAAAAGACAGTGTTTACAGTAAAAAGCCAGCAGGGACAGGCTGTAGACACCAGAAAAATTACATTAAGCTATAGTTGTTCTGATGCCTTTTACGCTTGAGTGTTTAAAGGAACACTGTACTGCTGGGAATACAAACATGTATTCCTAACCCTATAGTTTTACTCTACCTATTTTGGTGTCTGTCCTTTTCCCAAGAAGGTTTAAAAGGTGAGTGTTACTTACCTATACTCCCACGAGTCTGACTCGATTCTCATAAGGGGACGTGCCAATAGTCACTGTCAAAACTGTGGTGGTTTAAATTTCAGGATTAAAACTAAAAGGGCCACTGCACCCAGACAACTTAATTGAGAAGAAGTGGTCCAGGAACCTTTATGGTCCTTTAACACCGATCAGATGAAAGAATTGATCACTTCTGACATTGTATGCTTGGGTGGGTTGTAGAGATCATTTGTATAAATTTCATACAGATTATTTGTCTTAAATGCCATAATAATAGTTCAAATTTTTTGTATTACTGCTTAAGAAATCTTTCTATTGTATCCTTATGAACAATGACACACAAAAAAAATCCAGTCAGGGAAGTTGTATGTCAAGGGATTGTTACAAAAGCTGTCCATATGCTGCAAGAACAAGTGAATACACAAGGACTTTGATCAATCTCACTGTACACACAAATATCCCCTAAATTACATTTCACAAATCAGTGGAGTCACAGCTGTCACTGAATTAGATGCACTTAGTACTGCAAAGTACCCATCATACTTTGGTTGCTAATATAAAACATAGAAATCAATATTACAAAATCACAGTTGCCTCAAAAGCAGTATATTTATTTTTTCAAGTAAATGAGATATGGATATGCAGGTTGTAAATCATAGTACCAAACATACAAATATGTGAGATAAGGAAGCAACCCCTAGATTTGGTAAGCATGGGTGGTCTAGCAAATCAGGTAGATCCACCTAGTAACCAAGTTGCTCTGTACCTGCTTGACCAGGGAGCCCCAATTCTAGTCAATTATATAAACAAAAATACACCCAATATCACTGTCAAACATAAACATATTTGTTTAAAATATATTAACACATGTGAAAATTAGTGGAAAATAATTTACTAGCACAATCCCAGAAACAAAACACCATTGCCTAGCTAGAGATTATGGCTAGGCGATTATTGTTGTTTTTTTCCCCCCACTGATGGTCTTCAGATGTTACAGATAGATATTTGTATCCAACATTTATCTGTGTCTGACAAGATAGCTTCCACCCACTATGTATACTTTGTACTAAATAAGAAATTAGACTTTGAAGAGAACACACAAGAAGAGATTGAAACAAATCGAGTTAACTTGTAAGAGATACATTGCACAGGGTGATGATATTAGTACCAAGACTTATTTTATCATTAAGGGATGTGATAGTAGACGTGGGGTCAGTGTGTGAATAGTTACTGCTGGCTCAGTATTGTTATTACTATACTGTATTGTATTGTATTGTACTGTATGGAGATGCTGCAGGGTGCAATGCAGTTCTGCAGACTGGTGACAGAGCATAGGGGAAGTGAGACATGTCACCCCTGCTGACACCCACAGTATGCAGGCAGTGTGTGGCCCACTGACCGCTACCTGCTGGCTGGACAGCTGATGGGGACTACCTTTACCATCATGCTCAGGCAGCAGACCGACTGGCTGTCACAGCAGACACATTCCGCACCAGCCACGGTTAGCGATTAGCGGGGACTGGGGAAGAGAGACATGGGATAAGTGACGTCAGGGAGACCGGCATTCGTGGACGTGACGTCATTACCTTCTTGGGGGTCTTGCTGACAGCAGCCATGAAGGTGAACCTGTCAGACGCGTGCGGTTCATCGCCTGCAGCCGCTTCCATCGCCGACATTCTGACAATTAGAAGAAGAAGAAAAGAAGAAAACAGGAATAAAAAAAAAGCCCTCTTGTTTCGGACTCAGGAGAAGATGCCAGGCGAGGAATGTGGTGACTACAGCGCACTGACTGACTGATTGACAGCGGCACCGGGAAGAATAGACGTCAGCACAGCGTGTTACGTCACCACGCCCGAGACTGGCAAACTAATCCGCGCGTCAAGTGAGGGCAACGGGGTGACGTAAAAGGCCGTATCAAAGAACGCGAACGGCCGAGACAGAGAGAGGGAGGGAATGGGAGGCTGTGGGTTGTTGCCGGCTTAGAGAGTCACGCGATGACGTTCCATTCCTTAGGCTAGGTGTCCGTGCTGCACTCTGTAGACATGTGACGGCGTTACCCGCAGGACACAATGAGCAGTGTCAGGGCAGAGGGGGCTCGGTTTTCCTCCCAGGAAGCTTTGGCGCCATGCCGTCTCCACTGAGTTTCTGGTTTATCCAGGATAGACTGTATTGGGCTGTTTCACTTGGTACATTGGGGAGTGAGAGAGTAAATGCTGCTTGATACAGGCTACCAGCAACCCATCTTACTCCTCTCATAAACTATAGCATGTAAAATGGCGGGCTCCTCATGCTCTAAAATGGGTATACAAACTACACTCCTGTATGTACTCAGAACAATTATACAACCTCCAATCCGTGGACACCAGGAGAGGGATGTAGCTAAACAAAACCATTACTGTTACCTACACTACCACAGAATGGATCTAATTCACATACAAAGGGAGGGAAATAATGGAGGTCAATAGTGTCATTTTTTTTTTTTTATAAATGTATCTCACTAGTACAAATTAAAAATGATGCTCTTTAACATCAGGTCTCAAATAAAACTGGAAGTGAGCTGGACCAGTTGTCAAATACCAGGGGGAGAAAAATGCAAATGCAGCTAACCGGAAAGGAAATCTAAGAATATAATGAAGACCTCTATAAATAATTGATAATTTCTTTGCCAGTGAGAGAGTAAATGCTGCTTGATACAGGCTGCAACCCATCTTACTCCTCTCATAAACTATAGCATGTAAAATGGCGGGCTCCTCATGCTCTAAAATGGGTATACAAACTACACTCCTGTATGTACTCAGAACAATTATACAACCTCCAATCCGTGGACACCAGGAGAGGGATGTAGCATTACTGCAGAATGGATCTAATTCACATACAAAGGGAGGGAAATAATGGAGGTCAATAGTGTAATTTTGTTTTTATAAATGTATCTCACTAGTACAAATTAAAAATGATGCTCTTTAACATCAGGTCTCAAATAAAACTGGAAGTGAGCTGGACCAGTTGTCAAATACCAGGGGGAGAAAAATGCCAATGCAGCTAACAGGAAAGGAAATCTAAGAATATAATGAAGACCTCTATAAATAATTGATAATTTCTTTGCCATGGACTTATATGTATTTTAGGAATCTCTTGTTTGCCCTGCAATCTCTTTGCAGCGCTAGGAAGAGGTTACAATGACACAGACTCTTGTTCACAGTAAACATCTCCAAATATCTTTATTACATATACAAATATATATATATATATATATGTTTTTTTTTACACCTGGTCTTACTTTATAGATAATGTAGTAAAAGGGGGTGAGGACTTAGGACTTTCCTGCTGTTAATTACCAAATTTTACTAATTACATGACGTAAAGTCATGATTTTATAAAGGACACGGAGGCAAGTATTAGGCTTTATCTCTTTCTTTATTCCTTAGCAGCAAAGAAAGGATATTGATATTTAATATAGCAATAACAAGAAAAAATACAAAATACCCTTAAGGGTTAACTATATAACATTTCAAACATATTAACCAATGGGATCAATCCTTGTTCTATGTTCCCTCATGTGACCTAATCAACTAACTCTAGCTGACACCGAAGCTGAACATATCAACGGGTAAAATGATGAACCTGAACTGTCTCAGGTAGAGTGTTCCAGTGAGTCTGTTCCGGTATAGATAGGAAGTAGAGGGTGATCCCGAATATTCCATTAGAGGGTTAAGCTGTAGGAGACAGAGAGATATGTGGTAAAATATATTCAAATATCGTTGTCATACATATAAACTGTACACGTTTTTAAAGAAGCGTTATATCTTAACTCATAGTTTTATTTAGATCCAGCAAAAAATATTAAAACCAAATCATTATTAGTATATAGTACATCACTTGAACATCTAACTTGGTCCTACCTGTTTATCGGTAATTGGGTGGGGAAAATAACATGTACAACTTACCTGTCATGGGGCGGGCTAATACTCGCCTCTGTGTCCTTTATAAAATCATGATTTTATGTCATGTAATTAGTAAAATCTGGTAATTTTATTAAAGGACACGGAGGCTCATATTAGGCTAGTTTAAAGCTGTGATATAACCATAGATGAGATATGTTCTGTTGGTTGGAAGTAGTATTTTTTGAACGTCGATTCCCGGGACCAATCAGCTGTGCGGAGAAGGTCTTCCAATTTACAGCCAATGGATAATGCCTTAGAGGCCATAGCGCCTCTCGTGAAGTGAGCTCCGTAAACTGATGTGTCGAGGTTAGCAGCTTACATTATCCATTTTACCCAGCGTGCCAGAGTTACTGTGGATATTGGGTGAAAGTGCTGACATAGTTTCCCAGGGTTTTTACAAAGTCGTTTCTGAATAGGAGACCTTTTGCCCGAATGCCAGGCTTGGAAATTGCTAGATGTATTGGTTTTGGTTCAATTTTCATTAGTATGGCTTTACGCCGTTCCGTAGCCAAAGCGGTACTGGCGTTTCCAATTAGGCAAATGCCTCTCTGGATCCATCCCCTGATGGCCAGTAAGTCAACTGAGGTCCCCTCAGTAAGAGCAATTTCGACCAAGTCGAAAATTTTTGCTATAGGCCCGAGAATGTCTAGGACTTTGTCTTGGCAATGTTTGAGGGAGTAGTCAAGTCCCTTTTTGGCCTTCCATTCCGACTTGCCCAGAAACTGGGCGATCTTGGAGTCCACCTCGGCGGTTACGCAGGCCGTGTCCGGGACTGTGTGGCATGGGCATTCCGCCCTTAGCTTACTCCTTTTGGCCTTATCAAGGGGTTTTCTTACCCTGGTCACTATGTAGATGGCCACATGAGTTATGGGGTACCAGTCCGCTGAGCGCGGATTGTGCAGGGTATTTGGATCAAAGAGGGGTTCCCCTTGGGGATTTAAAACTGCGGATTTGTCCGCCTCTTGATCAAAGTCTATCACTGGGAGTGCAGTCTTGCTGCATTCAAGGGACCAGTTGTCTAAATCAACTGGATCGATGGCATCGGACCCATCTGACACCTCCTCTGAGTCCGAATCGGAGTCGGATGCATCTAGATAGGGCTTTTGCCCTCTTCCAATTCCACACCGCTTTTGCCCGGCGGGGGGCTCTTTTACGTGGGAGCACCACGTCCTCAGTTTCAACAGGGCGCAACCTGTCCGTCACACTGGTTTTGGAGGCAGCACCTGTTAGATGGTGCGATTTGCATGTAGCCTTGCGGCCGCTAGGAACCATCGGCTTACTATCAGAGGTTATAGGGGAAGAGCTGGGGGTTCTGCCAGATGCCATGATAGCGGAGGAGATAGTGTGTGTGACAGGGTGTCAGACATTGCTCCCATGGAATTAACAATGGTCTGTGTCACTTACTTGCTCATTGTAGCATCCAGGAGTGCCTGGAACTCCTCTGAGTTTGCATGGTCCTGGGATGCTTCCTCCCCACTCCCAATGGCCGCAATGCCTATAGGCGTTGTAGTACGACTGCTAGGTTTTGCAGAGGTGGGGGGGGGGGGGGGGCAATAGCTTGTTTGTCAGCAGGGGACTGCATATTGGTCAGGATGCAATACGAAGGGAGAGCTGGGGGAAGGCACTTAGCACTATTGGACTAATGGAAAATGGCACAGGGCAAGCAAATACCCTTACAGTTGGTTATGACCCAGAGGCTAACTGAAAGTGGTGAAAAAACAAGTCACTTTGAATAGTGTTAAAGCACTATAGGGCAAGGGCACATTAATGAGGCACAAATAAGATATTGGCACAACTAATATGGCAGCTTACAGAGTGTTCCCTCAGGAATGACTCCTGGGGGACACTGGTAAGCTGCCCAACACCTCTATGAGCCAATCAGCTCACGCCCCTCCCAAAACGAACGGCGCGAGCGACGGGTAAAAGCGCAGCAAATTTGACAACCCCAAAATGGCCGCCGCGATGCGCGGAAGAGAACCGCGCATGCGCGAGTGGTTTAGGTGGCGGTTAATTTAATTTCCGCTATCTGTTGAATGGTTAAAATGCTGAGACAGGGAGGTGCAAGGGGCAGGGGGCACCCTTGGGGGGCCGTCCCCTACATTGGGGAAAGGAAGAAAAAATGGGTTATAAACAACCCGGACGGCAGTGCAGAATAGGGGCTTGTCCCAGGGAAGGGACAAGTAGCCTGCACTAAGGGGGAAAGAAACACAGACAAACAAAGCACTGGTAGTAGATATATACAGTAGAGTGTAAAGAAAAACACTAACCAAAAAATTAATGAAATAATAAGGTATTAACAGGAAGAAAACACAGTAAATACTACAAATTGTTCAGAGCATGAAAAAATATGAGGTACTTAGCTGAGGCAGCAGCAAAGAAAGTGGAAGTGGATTAGGTCACATGAGGGGACATAGAACAAGGATTGATCTCATTGGTTAATATGTTTGGAATGTTATATGGTTAACCCTTAAGGGTATTTTGGATTTTTTCTTGTTATTGCGATATTAAAATATCAATATCCTTTCTTTGCTGCTGAGGAATAAAGAAAGAGATAAAGCATAATATGAGCCTCTGTGTCCTTTAATAAAATCCCTAGATCAGCAGTATGGAGGGTGTTTAATTGGGACTTTACTGCTGTTACTATAGCAACAGCAGTACAGGGCTAGGATTTAGGAAAGAAGGTATAAAGTCCAAACTTGTAAACAACCAAAAAGTCTACTAATATAAAACTTTGAAACTTAGTCTAGGGGTTTTATTCACTAACATATAACATATAAAAAGCATAAATAACATTCCTTCAATTCCCTCCTTTGTTCACAGAGTGAACAGCCTAAGGACAGAGAAATAACTGGGTATGTTGCCATACCTATAAAATTCCCCAGCTTCCCCAGTAATGTAGGGTCAGGAAAAACCACACCGTTTGGAAATCTGAGTGGGAGCAGCGACCATGCAAGCCCTGCTCCTCCTTCACAGAGCAGCTGTCATCTTATGCGTAGGGATAGGTATTAAACATCAGCCTTAGATTCTGATGGACCAGCCTTTCTCCTAATCGCAATACAAAAACACTTAAATACAGAAATAAATATATACAGCACAAACAAGCAAAACACAAGTACTATAACACCTATTAATGTCCTCCTTTTGAGGGAACCTAACCAACCTCCCAAACCAAAACTCCAGTTAAACCCATCAAAGAATTCCTTGTCTTTTTTTATGTCTGTCCCACCCTCCTTATGTCATCTAGGTATTTATGAATTGGTTTTGAATGATAAGTAAGATTAAAACAGCACATCCCCTTGGAATTTCCACACCTATTATTATTCTACCACCAGTCCTCCCAACTAGTCACCTATTCCCCAAGTCCAAACAAATCCATCAAAAATATGCAACCTGGTGGGAGGTGATCGAGGTTGCATATTAAACATTTTCTTTCTACACTTACCATACATCAAAACACACATTCTACATCCATCCCTGGGTCAGCTAAGACATTTTCTCCGGCTAACACTACAAAAATATAAAAAATTTTAAATAGTTCAGAAAAATATGTTTTTGGTTTATTTTAATATAAAAAATAAAATCTGTTTGTACAGCATAAGTTGTTTTTGATAAAATAGCTAATAGTAGCAAGACGGCTGACAATAAGACAATGTCAGGTTTCACATAGTTCATTTGTTGCTGGATTTTCACCACAATGCTCTTGCACCACCCCAAGTGTCCTGAGGGCTATTGTAAAACTTGCGACCACACTTCACTTTCCAGGCACTTGTGTACAAAGTGTATGTCCTCATAAGTAAACATCTCAGTTTCTTCGGCCTACATGTGTTTTAGACATAATTGCAAATAGTCAATAGAGGGTCAGCCAGAGAGAGATTGGTGAGCAGGTCCCAATTATCAGGTAGCACAAACACTTCAAAACGTTCTCTACAATCATAAAAACCATACGAAAAGAACATAAAAACATCTAAATATAAAAATATTAAGACATTCTCTACACTATTTTAAACCATATGAAAACTCAAAATTACCAGATGAGCTTTTTAATTACTTTGAAACCTCAGTACTGGGTTCTACAGTTAATAATTACCCTCTTACTACAAAAATCTAACTTCTGGCTTTAATTCACAGTGATAAACATTGCTAGGAAGAGATTACCTAAATGACACACTTCCTTTGTTAAATGAGTATATTATTTATTTATATCCTCTTTTGAGTCATTTTGCTGAAACATCTTCTAATAAGATCTTCAAGCAAAATGCTTTCAGTTTACCAATATAAAACATAAATGTCACAGATTACAATTCTTATTACAAACTCTTATAGATGTAATAATTTCAGAATATATATTTTTTTCTATTAAAAATACAATTTCACCATTGTCCTTTGATCAATGAGGTACACTTGAAGAACCTTACTTTTGCATAAATCCATCATACTACCCATCCCCTCTTTTTTTTTTTTTTTTTAGGGTGGAGCCAAACAGGGAGCCTATAACCCCAAGGTACCATAACCGGGCTATTATATGACAGTATATATGTCTGTGGCTTATTAAGAAAATCATTATCTATCACCTAAGAGGACAGGGCTATAAATCTGCTCTTGACACCTGTGTGTCAAGGAGTATATATAGGTGTTTTTGATAAATAAAATAAACTGACAAACATTTGGGGCAATTAATAAGGTTATCAAGATAGTTTCATATTAAAAATTCAGTACTGATAAATACAATAAATTGTCTTTTATACAAAATAATACTCCCCTAATCTAGCACAAGAGTCAGACAAGGCACTGTGCGATGGAAGACGTGAATCAAGATTTGATTAGTATCATTTTGTGGGGGCCCTCTTTATGTAAGATGTAACAAGTGCTTTTTTGAGTAGTCTCATATTATCAAGTAATCTCCAGGAGCGATCACATGCAAGATTTCACTTTTGCTGGCTGTACAACATTTGACCTGTGTTAAAACACTAAATGCTTGCATTAATGACATGCAAATATTCTTTACTATTTACTTTTCTTTACTATTTATACTCCTAGACAATGGACATTAATACATAAACCATCAATTCATTACAAAACAGAATCCATACTCCACAAACATTGCAATACAACTCTTGTTCTCATTTCACAAAACATAAAACAAAGATATAGTAGATGCATAGAATGGTTACCCAGCAGAGGATGGATGGATGTGTATATTGATGAGAGTGGAGCAGTATATTAAAATAACAATTTAGGTGATATGCCCAAAGCGATGTACATAGACTATGGAAAAAAAAGGAAAATGGTTGTGATTATACTTAATGATCAGTAGATGGCCCCAGAT